CATAATATAAAATTAATAAAAAATCAAATTATTATTATAAGAATTATATTATTTTAAAATTATATATATTATAATTAATATAAATAATTAATATAAATAAATTAAAATAAATTATCCAATATTACCTAGGCCTATCGATAATAATATATTTATAGTATTAAATTATATTATTATTTAATTTTTAATAATTCGAAAATTATTTTAATTCATACATTTATATCTTAATACTTGAGAGGGGGAACACGAAAGGTAGGTAAGCAAGAAAGGAACCGAAGAAAAAATGAAGGGGAGAGGGGAGGGAAAAATACATAAAGTGGAGTCTGGTAAAAGCGACTGAAAGGCTTCGGCGATGTGGTTGGGGTTGGTGGTGGTTGTGGTGTTGGTGGTGTTGGTGGTTGTGGTGTTGGTGGTGTTGGTGGTGCTGGTGGTGTTGGTGTTGTTGGTGTTGTTGGTATTGGTGTTGTTGGTGTTGTTGGTGGTGGTAGTGTTTCTGGTGTTGTTAGTGTTGTTAGTGTTGTTGGTGTGGTTGGTTGGTGTTGTTGGTAGTGTTGGTGATTGTTGTGTTCGTGTTGTTAGTGTGTTGGTGTCTGTTGTTGTTGTTGTTGTTGTTGTTGTGTGTTGTTGTGTGTTGTTGTGTGTTGTTGTGTGTTGTTGTGTGTTGTTGTGTGTTGTTGTGTGTTGTTGTGTTGTTGTGTGTTGTTGTGTGTTGTGTTGTTGTGTTGTTGTTGTGTTGTTGTGTGTTGTTGTGTGTTGTTGTGTGTTGTTGTGTGTTGTTGTGTGTTGTTGTGTGTTGTTGTGTGTTGTTGTGTGTTGTTGTGTGTTGTTGTGTGTTGTTGTGTGTTGTTGTGTGTTGTTGTGTGTTGTTGTGTGTTGTTGTGTGTTTGTTGTGTGTTGTTGTGTGTTGTTGTGTGTTGTTGTGTGTTGTTGTGTGTTGTTGTGTGTTGTTGTGTGTTGTTGTGTGTTGTTGTGTGTTGTTGTTGCGTTGTTGCGTTGTTGTGTGTTGTGTGTGTTGTGTGTTGTTGTGTGTTGTGGTGTGTTGTTGTGTGTTGTTGTGTGTGTGTGTGTGTTGTGTGTGTGTGGTGTGTGTGTGTGTTGTTGTGTGTGTTGTGTGTTGTTGTGTGTGTTGTGTGTGTTGTGTGTGTGTGTGTGTGTGTGTTGTGTGTTTTGTGTGTTGTGTGTTGTGCGTTGTGCGTTGTGCGTTGTGCGTTGTGCATTGTGCATTGTGCGTTGTGCGTTTGTGCGTTGTGTGTTGGTGTTGTTGTTGTTGTTGTCGTCGTTGTTGTTGTTGCTGTTGCTGTTGGTGTTGTTGTTGTTGGTGTTGGTGTTACCCCTGCAGCGTTTTTGCTCGGTTCCGTAGTGGCCGAAAATCGTCAAATCGGTGGTGTTTTCGCGTGTTTTTGCAACTCTCGGAGCAAAAAACACCGTAAATACCGATGTTTTTGGCGGGTCGGAAGCCCAAAACCACGGTATTTACGATGTTTTTTGCCTCTGGTAGTAAAAAGCACGGTATTTACAGTGTTTTTTGGCCAGCACCTAGCAAAAACACTGGTATTTACGGAGGTTTCACCATGTAGCAAAATGTGGTTTCTTGATCCGAAAAGAACAAAAATACTGTAAATTACAATGTTTTGAGTCTGCTCTTAGGGTGCGTGGGAGGTGTGGAGGGGGGGGGGTTACTAAAATGACTAGCAATCTCCTGAAGAATCAGGTAACGGGGCTGGCCGCCCTCCCCTTTACTTCGTAAAGTAAAACTCAAGGTAGCCCCTCTGGAGCTACCTTTCGTGATAATTGTCTGAACTAGTCTGAACTATATTTTAGCAAATATGCAGATTAATTATATTTCATAATTTATAGGTTTTCAATATTTATGCATTACACTTGTACGGGTATGTCGTCGATATTTGTTTCGACCGTGTGTTGAGATTCTGCCCCCTTCTCCTTTAAATGGTATTGCAAGGCCAATAGATCAAACGCATAGCTTGCGGTAAAAATCATCATCCCCAGAACCACCAAGCGCTGGGTGAGACCGCGACGATTCAAGCTCCGAATCTTGGGCGTGCTGCGCAAAGGTGGAAGTGCCTCGATCAGCAAAAATGGAATAACGCCTGACACAGACAGGGCAACGAGAAAAAGCACCAGGACTTTCCATCGAAAGGATCGTCTCTCCAATGGAGTTGCATGTTTCCAGCGAAAACATTGGGAAATCAGGAATGAACCTCCCTGGAAATACGATGCCAAGAAAAATGTGTTGGCGAAAAGGTGGTGAATGTCATGTCCATCTGGAATCTCATGCGTCTCCTCCAGCACCGTCCCTTTATTTGTAATCGTGGCTAAACCAAGCAGTGCTAGCGTTGCTACTAGGAACAAGACCTCGGAAAGGGCCAGGAAAATTCCATGGATGAGACCACACTTCATTTGCCACAACATCGCGTGCAAAAGAGCAAGTGTTGGACAAAGAAAAGCAATCCATGTGACTGCCACTCCAAGCGTCCAAATGTAACTTTCTGGTGGCACCTCCGTTGTAAGACTGATTTCCGTAACGTATGCAGTTACCAATGACCCTGTTTCTTCGCTTTGCATGTCGCATTTTCCACTGACTAGGGCCAAAATATGGGCCGTCACGATCAGCGTGGCTAGAATCAGCACCGCCAGTGGGGGCCAAGCAACTGCCATCCGTGACATCAAAATCCTTTGAGGCACAATAGCCATGGAGACAGGTGCTCCCCGGCTCCCCCCTTTGGAGGAGCAAACTTGCAAGGCCGAGTTCTGCTTGATTTGAGCACTTGCTGCGGATGGTTCACGACATTTCAAGATACAAAGATACACAAAGTGGAGATGTTCGGAGTTGTGCGCTTGAAAGCTCCCTGTGGTCTCCTTAGCTTTGCTTATTGTGTTCAGCTAATTGATTTATCATGGTGTATGGCAAGCTGAAACATATCTCACCGCAGAAGTGATGTTGAACAAGTTGAATACCTACGTTTGCCAAAGAATGAAACCCTGCTGAGTGAAAGTGTTCTTGTGATCAAGCAAAACACAACAATCTCGATGCTGCATCAATCATCATCAATCTGTTCAGCAAACGGACAACACATAATCATACACAATCCATAAGTATATAATAACACTAATAATAACAATATAATGTATATATTATATATATTTATATATATTATAAGATATTACAAGTATCCATAAGTCACATTGGATGATGATCCTCCATCAATGTGTGTAATTAATTCATGATGTGCTTAACTGGAAAGTGCTGACTCGCCACCGATATCTTCATTCTTTATTATCAACTCTGTCAATCCCGCGTCACGCCTGCATGACAGGTCCCTTTTTTGCTTCAGGTCATGCGATTTTCGCAAGGTCGTGTCACTATGTGTCACTAGTTTCGCCCATCTTTGGCGAGTTTGTTTTGCAGTTCACTTCCAGGCTTCGCGTCTTCCTGAGACATTCACAGACGATCAGCAACGGTCGTGATTGTCAGACATTGTCATCACTGATGCATAAACCATCATAAACATTCATACAGTAAACCCTTCCAATCTTTCCAGTCAGCAATGCTCAACAAATCCGGTCTTGGTTTTGAAAAATGGCTGAATGTTGGACAAAGCTGGCCAACATTGCTGATTTCCAATCAAACCATTGTCATCCATTGTCCCTGGCCTTTGCCTTCCACTTCTTCCAGCATGGCAAATGCCTTCGCCACAGCAAGTGGCCTGGGAAAATTCGCCAGAATCCATGTCCAGGCAATGTGATCAAGTTCTGATGCTCAGACAACTTCCCAGGACATCCCAGGACCCCTTAGCAGCACCGCACGGTAGCAGTGCTGAAGTGGTCAAGCTGCTGGCCAGGTCAGGTCTGCCCGGCGCACTGGTGACAGTGGCCAATGTTGATGGTGTTGAACTGTTGTGACTCCAGTATATAGCGGTTGAGCCCCTTACAAGGCGAG